ATTTAGTTAGCCCATCTACATGTTCCTTCACGCGACAACAGAGAGGGCGTCCCGTTTCTCCTATGTAGGTTTTTTACATGACAAACATGTGATCAGATAAATTAGTTTGACACCATACAATCTCCCTCTCCAATTGGCGCTTTAAATTGAGGGGTGGTATATCGATCACTCTAACCATGCTTTGCAAACCCGCCTGATGTACGCATCGCCGCACTGCACTGCTTATATAGTCCGAGAAAACGGCATACAGACGAGATTTTGTCCGTGACGTCCACAAGTTAACCTTGCTGTTTGCAGAATTCCGCGGCTTTTGTGAGTATGCGCTAACCGGCTATTTGACTTGGCAATTTCTTCCGCTAAAGCTAGCCAGCGAAAACGTCCCTGAATACCCGAAAAAACCTTGGCAGCTATGCAGCGCATGTTCCTAACAATAGATTTCTTGACATTGCTTGGATGCGCGGATAGGAAGTGGACTAAGATATTCTTGCAGCTAGGTTTTAGATACCATCTGGTTCTTCAAAAAAGTTCTAACATCTTGGTGTAAGCTCAGCATAACAAGAAATAGTTTAAACTTTCCGGTGTTATAAGTGGAAGGCGGGTATGTGCATTTAATGTGGTTTTTTACCGCTTTAGCGCCACACTCAAGAAATTTCAATGATGTCTTTACGATATCTTTCGGATAAATGGGAATTTGACCGCAAGTCTTACCGTTGTATTTGTCAAGTGTAGCCTCGTCTAAGTAACACTTGCACTACGTAGCTCTTCATTCTAGTGGCTTCATCTGATTGGCAATTGACTGTTGAGTGCTGAACTGTTTCGCTGAATTGCTGCTGTATTGTGTTGATGACTCACGGTTGTTACTTAACTGGCTAGTATATCGTTGGTCGCTATCAAATGAAGAATGCGCAAACTGGAAGAGGTTACAATTTACGTGCCTTCTAATCTAATACTCATTGTTCGTAAAGTGCGCAGGTACCACACACGTACATAGCGAGCTCGCGCGAAGAAGCTCAAGATTAAATAAGCGATGAAATTTTGGTAGTTCTGTTACTGATGTTCAAGGCGCAGCATTTCTAATTTGCTTTTTAGCAAAAGCACAACAAGTGCAATGTAAAAGAATCTTCATGTCAGCACCATAAGACGACACTTAGTTTTTTTTGTTGACTTTCAAAATAGCTAATAGCTTGAGCAACTCAGGGCTGCCAATTTGATGAAAGGTGGACTCGTGACGTGTACTTGAATAGCAGAAATAGTTTCTTCACAGTGTCCAAAGATACTGAGCGAGCATATTTTAGAGCTTAATATCGTTTCGTACGAAAATAAACGAAAAACAAAAAGTGCTAGAGATTCTCGTTTTGATTTTATGTCGCGTTTTCTTGTAAAAATTTTCTTGCGTTTTTCTGACTGAATCTGGAGTCGCCCCAATATATGAGCTTCTACTGACAAAAAACTTTTGAAACAAAATTCAAAGTTCTTTAACAATGAGAAAGGGCAGTTTTTAAGTCTGTTCATAATTACGTCTGCGTCCAGTAATATGTCTTTGCTTTGCTCATGGTGGAACGACAGAGTTGGAAAATATTTTCTGATTTTCGTATGTACTCAAAGTTCGGCGAACATTTTGCAGAAATTTCCATATAGGAGTATATCAATTAGCATCAACATTTCGTCTAAAAACTGCAAATTTTCAAGATCCTCTGTATATATTGGCTTCCTTTAATCACTGTCCATCGAAGACTCCTCCTTCGTAGTATGTCCCATATGTGAAGCTCGATAAAATGATGTCGACTTCCTTCTTTTATAGTAAAACAGCAGCGCAAGTAGCGTACCTTGCGAACCCATTACAGTAGTAAAGATGTAGTGCCAAATAGTTGCGTAAGGTGAATAAATAGTGAAATATTGTAGAACCTGGAAATTTGTGTGTATCGTAGGCAAAAAAAGCTCTGAAAGACTTACTGTGCTACTTTTTAGCTTTTAACATAGCAGAAAACTTCCAACGTATAATTGCGATAAAATGTAGAAAGTTGATAATAAGACTTTGGAGCTTTGACTTCAAAAAACATCAATCTATAGTTTTGTGAAAATTACTGTTATATAATTACATCTGATAGAATAATTAAAAGTATTGTCATTGAAATTAGACGTGTGTTCTATTGGCTATCCCTTTACAACATCTCGTATTTGCAGAACTTGGAACGAAACTTTGGAAAAAAGAACGAGAATGACAATTCAATATTTAGTCAGCGAAGTGTTTGTGCAAACTAACCCAAGGCATGCCGATTGACAATTGCATGACGAGAACGGCGCCAATTTTAGACGTTACCCGCGTTTGATGTTGTCTCACCTAAAATTTGACTTTTTAGGGATGTTTCTCGTAAGGTTTAACGTTAAGACTCCATTCTTAAACGCTAGCAATTTTTTTACGAAAGAGATTCAGAGATGACAGTCAGGGGCTGAAGAGCATGATTTCAGATAGTGATTTTAGAGAGCTTCTGTTGTTTTTTTTAGATGATCCTACGGATTTGATTTAAAACTTCGAGCAGAAGCTTTGTGAGGTTCTTCTGCAAGTTGTTCCTTTTCTATATTGATAAATCTGTTGCTTGCCTAACGGTATTTCCTTTACCATTCGTAATTATCTTCATTATTTAAGAGAAGAACTCTCGACGTTAAAGTTCTTGTGAGTTTGAAAATGAAAAAAATGGCTTTACCAGCGTCAATTAGCGTAAGTAATAAGAATTTTTGATTGATATCTACAATATTATAAATGAGCCAAAAGCGGTCAAAGTTATTGAACGGGTATTTTAAAACATTACACTCTAACAGTACAATAGCCACTACTCTGTGGAATGCATACGTGATTGGCGATCAACGCGTGAACGCAAGGCACCTGGTTCAAATCTTAGAATGAGAAGGAATGCAACATATGTTTTAGGAAACAATTATTAACAACAACAACTAAAACAACAACTCAGAACTTCACATTTGGCTGAAATTTCGCTCAAGTTACATGTTACGATAAGCAGATATTATTGCCTCATTCGATAGAGTTCTAATGTAAGTTACGGTGAGTAGGTCTAATTCATGGATTTAGCTAGAGAATATCTAATGGGTTATATATGTGCTAAACACAAATAATATATGATCGCACGATTGCCCTAATTGCAGATGCACTAAATGTACTGTGTATGCTTAGAATATGAATTCGTGCCAACATTATCTAGAAAGAAGGTTCGATACGCTATTCAAAAAAAAGTGTATGTACCAATAAACAGCTGCGTCCAAGTCTTAACCCACGCACAAAATTTTCGAAACAGTACAAACAGTATTACACCATTTTTAAGTTTTGCATAATCATTTTGACAGGCTAGTAGAAGTAATGGCTTTTGAAGCAATCTATATAAGCTGGTATGGGAAGATGTATATATCGACGGTGTCTGTACAGAAAGGTGACATCGTGATAGATGAATATTTTTTCTGTACAGTACATCAAATAGTTAGACAAATAATTCCCATAAGCAAAATTTTGGACGCGTCCGTTATCTCAAAGCAATACCTATATATAAAAGCTATCGTGATAAGTATTTTTGACGTAATCTACTATCACAACTCTCTTAGACACAGTTTCAAATGTAGTTGTGAAGTTGCCTCTATAGTATGCCTACCATACACCTGCACAATTTGCCATACCATAATACACCTCCACCTGCTTACACTAGGCTTCTATTATCTTAGAAATATATATTGTTTTGAAAAAAGTTATGTAGATGCGATGTCAAGGTTCAATGAGTTGCGGGGATCTGTAATAAAGAATTTTTGTGTAGTGTAGGAGCAGCGCATCCTTGCTGCATGTGATTGGTCAATGATATCTGACTGATACATGTCAGGGCGTGCTCAGACGAGACAAGTAAAGAGAGAGAAGCTCGTCTGCTTTCCTAACGTGCGGCGGTTCCGTGCTCGACACCAATCCACCCGGGGCTACCATGCCCCGTCACCCACTTTCTCGATGCAGTCTGGCGACTCGGATACCAGTGATCTCCTTTTGTTATTATTCATGTACTGCTCATGATGTGATCCATGATAAATGTCTACTGTATTCAAGTGTAGAGACAGATGCAGAGCCAATTCCACTGCATTAACGTTTACTGCAGAAGATACGGGCAGTTCAATCTATTGAAAAGCAAAGACAAGATGTAAAGTCACTTAGAGAGTTTTCGTAGAGATTAGTCGCTACTAACACATAGGCATGTTTCGAGATGTGAATTAAACTGAGCAGAGTCTTGCTTATCACCTAAAGCAATATTGCTCTGTTTAGCTTTTAACAATTAACCCGCATCCACTTTCAAAGCCGCGTCCAAGATGATGTTACTTGATTTATCTCCAAAAATCATTTTCTGTGGTAGCACTGTTTTGATTTTGATAAAGAAGCACGTTTGCCTTTGTTTCATGCAGCAGTTGGAAGTGAGTCTTTTAGAAACGTTAAGTCAGCTTAGTCAGAAAGGGCAGAGAGCTATATGGTATACATTGGACCGAATTGAAGTATTCGAACACTCGAAAATTTGAATTCGAATCACTCGAAATTCATTGTTCGAAATTTCTGATTTTCGAATAGTTCGAATATGCGAAATTCTCGTTTCTCGATTTACTGGAAAGTTCGGCTATTCGAAAAAATCCAACTTTGAATTGTTCGACTATTCGAATTTGCGAATCTCGATTTTTGGATTATTCGAATACCCGAATTTGGCAGACCTTTGAGTGGTCGAATTTTCGAACAACGTGGCAAATAAATGTGGAATGGTAACGTAATTTCATTCTATCTGCAGGTGCAATGCGGGACCCCATGCAACGCATGCATGTATTGATTGAAAACGTAAGTCTAGTCCGTGCTGCACTCGCCTTAACGCCTTTTCTCGCTTATTGCAGGTGAGTTCTAAGATTCCTTGTAATTTAGTTAATGTGTACCTTATCGTTTTATGATCTATCTATTCTATGATTTTGCAGACGGTATTGTTACGCCTACAATTTTAATCATCATGCATGTTCCAACTTTTATCTTCGATAGAGAAAGTATGGGGGGTGTAGATTGATCGTTTTTTGCTTCTGCAAGCAACTCCTTCTAAACAAAGGTTGCAGAAACGAAAAAAAATATTTTTACAGTCTTTTAAGTGTTTTCCTGGATAAAAAAGTTACCTCAATCAAAAATTCATCAATTTAAATTTGTTATTTAATACTGTGTTAACGTTTGAAGCATGCATGACATTCATTGTAGTCTTCGTCAGATTTATGTCCACCCACCGGTTGCACAGCTAGTGTGTTTTCAAAAGATGTAGCCGTTGTGAACGTCAGATTTTGGTTTAAAGTATAGTTTGGGGTTCCTTTCTTTTTAACTTTCGGTGCAAATAGATTGTTTTTATAGTCTAAAAGCCAGATAAAGGTCCGATTTTCTACTTGGGTAATTTCTTTTCAGTTTCATTCAAGGAATCATTTTAAGGAAAACATTCGAGTTTCTTTGTGATAGTGTAGTCTCAATAGGCAAATAGTAAGGTGAGTTCATTCTTGTGCTACTCTTTTACGCCTGCTGCGATTCCTTTTTGAATTTTTTTGTTTTCAAGTAGTAGTTTTGGGCAGTTCAATCAAAACGTGTGTGCATATTGCGAAAACAGCCTACTAAACATCTTGAAATGTAGATATCCACCAAAATCATTTTGCATTGTGATTTTTTTTAATCGCATTTGAATAATTCGAAAGTTCGGGATTGTGATTCAAAATTCAAGAACTTTGTTTTTCTGAATTATTCGGAAATCCGGATATTTGCAATTTATCTTTTTGAATAATTGGAAAAATAATATAAGAAATACTATTTCCGAATTATTAAAAAATCCGAATATTTGAAAGATATTATTTTCAAAGTATCGATTATTCGAATATTCGAAATTTTTCTAAAATTTCCAACGAATACTATATAGCTCCTAGCTGGAGACACATCATGTGACATCTGAGTAAATCACATAATTGTAGTTTTAGAAGAAAGATTCAGTGAACTATATCTCTAAACCTACCGCTTTGCTAAACTTTCCATTGCAAAAAAGTCGCATACATATTACAATTGTACAAAATATTGCATTCAAAACCAGGAGTGATGTAGGTAGAACTACAGCGTAGACAACATAGTCCGGTCGTACCCAGCAAAAGCAATCCCCTCTTTCAAAGAAATTGGACTTGATGGCCAACAGAAGGGTTGTCAAGAAAGGAGCTGCTGTAAACAATAACTATAATATATGGAATGCGAGGACATAAAACGCCGCAGCGACAGGTAATTCGCTCAGCGGTCTGGGGGAGATGTGGATAGGAGATCTGGGTCCGGATTCATCATTGATTTTACCTGGGGTAAATGAGGTCACGCCCCTGCCTTGGTGATGTACCGATATTCATCATTTTTGTTACCACTACTTTAATTCTCCAAAAAGGGGTAATTAGGTATCCATTGCTGAGGCAGGATTTCGCAGATGCCTTACTTCCTCATAACGACCCAGGGTGATGGGAACTGGCGCACGCTGAGAACCATACTGCATAACGTAATTGCGGTGAATGTTAACTATCTCTCACCAGGTACTAAACACAAGAATTATAAGATATCTAGGAAATTTGTTTTATAATATACATATATCACCGCAAAATATCTTACAAAGAGCATGAAAAATCGAAGAAAATTAGGCATTCGGATAACATATCAAACAATTGAAAAGATTTGCTTAGTTGAAAAAAAACCTTCTAAACATCTCACTGAAAAATTTCGCAACTAATTAAAGAGTTAAAAGTTTTTTTCTTCTTGTCGAGAAGAGCAGATTGCACGACAGATCTGGAAATAAATTAATCAAATGCAAGCAATTAATTCAGCTTCCCGTGAGTGGCGTCACTGCATGTTAGTAAAAAGTTGAAGATCAGTTTACTGCGACCTTTCATAAAAAACTGAATGGAGTTTAGAGGGCTGTACAGTCGTTTCGCTCTTTGATTGAAAGATGCGATTAAAATCCATTTATGTAGTTGAACTCGAATTTCAGTCGCCTCTGGCTTAAAAGTTCATGTTGTAATATCCACTTGAAATCATAGTAGAACATTTGCCGTGTACTACTACCACAAATGGTTTTTCGTAGAACTAACAACTAAATTTGAACAACATTCAATCTTCAAAACGCCGAAAAAACCGATCTAATAGCATTTTTCAAGTAAAAAGGAAGAAACAAATTGATAGAATGTATTTTTTCGAAGAGTAGATTCTCGAAACGAAAACCAAATCTAGTTTGATAGTTTCTTTCATTTCGCGGATGGAGAAGAACTTTGACCTCCCGCCAGTTCCACCACACACCGGTGACTTATCAACGTGCGCTCTGCTCTCTTATCATTAATTGGAAATTAAAAAATTTCTTGATTTTCGCCATGGCTTAGTCAAAATCGCTGACTTTGAATTTGCTCTCAATATATTATGGTCTATAGAAAAAAATTTGCAAAAATATAGCCTCAATGACATATATACTGTGAAACGAAGTTGATAAAATAAAGCACGGACAGCAAAATTGCATCACAAATTAAAGCAAGGTGAGAAATCCACGGCATATTAGGAAATCAGCACATCATAAGACGTTCTCGTGGAGCGCCAGCGCGGCGACTGGCATCGAGGTATTTTCTTATCTTCCAAGGTAAATATTGATGAATGCGAATTGCACCTTATTGTTGAAAATACCTCGGATATGTTTACCTCAGGGGCGAACAACATCTCAACTTCAATGATGATTCCGATCCCCGGGGCCGGATTCATCATTGAAATTGAGGTATTGTTTGCCCCTGAGGTAAACATACCCGAGGTATTTT